TGGTTCATTTAAGAAAGATCTTATATGATTACTTTAGATATTTTTCAAGAGATATAGTTACTTCATACGATTTTAAAATAAAGTTTCATCTGATTTATATATTTCTTTTCCATTTGTCTCATTTGCAAAGTTGAAGGCTATTTAATATATCATAGCTATAGCTCTTATAGTTTCCGCTGTGAGTGGTCTCTGGGACCGTACGGAGTTGATGACAAGAAAACATTCCTGAGTAAAATAAACAAAACCTACAGAGAAGAGGTCTCTCTATCTCCCTGTTTATAGTGAAAATATGAGAAACCAATCCCGAAATGCTCACATATGTGACAGTTGCATACGCAACCACAAGTATCTGGAAAAATACTAATAAGCGGCTGGATGGTTAGGACAATGGATCGAAGGACACATCGAGCCAAACTAATCGTCCAGCCCACTCAGCCCTTGGTCAAAATAAATAATGACAACAAACTCTCACCAAGTGCTTAAAGGCAGGAATAACAACTGCAGACTGCAGCATGTGTTATGTGCAAACAGAGTACACTCTGAACTCCGGTTCCTGGTTCCAGATCAAGGGATGATTGCAGTTCTTATTTTAGAGCATTTGTTTTTTTAGGATGACAACTCGGGCTTGAGCCTGGGTCGCCCAGTAATGAAAGCAAAACAAAAATTGAAACTCAAAATAAATAGGAGCGGAAACAATAATAATACATGCAAACGTACAGAGCTCAACAGTCTCGTTAAACGGGTTCCAGGGAAGGCTGCCAGCAGACGGCCAATTAAATGCTTATAAAGGTTAGATTTATGCGAGACAGTTGACATGTGAGAGCCGATGATGAAAAGGTTGTCTGTCTGTCAGTCTTTTGGCTGTGCCATTTGCCATCCCCGGCGAAATCTTCTTATGCTGACAATCTTTATCCCATGACTGCTCATCGGGGCACACACATGTCCATACACTCACGTATGTATCTCCTAAGTAGGATCAATAATAATGCCAAACAAATGCGAAAACAAATCCTGGGACTTAGAACGGATAAACAAGTAGCCTCAACAATGGGCAACCGTTTTTCTTTTCGGTTTGGCTTACATCCAAAACCTGCCAATCATTGCCTTTTGTCAGAACTGTCAACAGTTTTATTTAAATGTTTGACCTTCTTCAGGCGAATTTCCTTAGCCTCTTGTGCCTGGGTTCCCCTCTCTTTCCCATATCTAGTATTTACACGAAAAGTATTAAAAAGAATGCTACAATTCATAGTTTTTACTAAACAGTAATCATATTCAGCATATAAAATTTGAACATAAAGTGTATGAACGATGGCGTTGTGAGTATTAAAAATGTTAAATGTTTAATGACTGAATGCAACCTCCATGCTAATACTTTTCCCATTCAGTTACCTTATTTAATCAATAAAGTCATTCAAAATTTTAACTGCCACCGGATATTGTCATGTCCACAGCTTATCCAATTAGCACAATATTAAAGAATTTTATTATCATCGTAAAAAAATCAATTATTAAATCGGCTTTTCCCCACTTTTTAGACACATGAAAAAAAGATTGTTACACACCCATTTGCCATGTCGCACACACCCATTATATAAGTTATAAAACCCAAGATTTTGTATGCAAAACATGAAGGAAAATGTTATGGGTCATTAAATGCGGAACTTTTTGAGGTTGCCTCCAGAATTCATATACCATAAGACAATATTCTTCACATGAGAAATGATATTGGCAAATAACTTCAATCGTAAATTGCGTGTAATCGCCGAGGCCAATAAATTTTGGTTTTATCAGATGGCAAATTAAATGTGATTTGAATTTTGCCCTTTCTTCCATTACTTAACATTCATATTTTCGCAAAAGAAATCAAAATTCAGAAGGCGCCAGTCAGTTGTATATATATCCTATATATCCCGATGGGGCCTTTGTCGGAAGGTTATGTAAATTTAGGCGATCGGAGACAAGGCGATCTGCTGCGGAGGAAGACTTATGCAAACACCGATTGACTGACTGACATATTGACACAAGCAATGCTGCCGACGACGACTGGTGGCTTCCATCCAACTAAAATGAAAGTCAAGAACTGTGTCCATGTCAATACAAGCCATATATCAGTCATGCCTAGAAATCAGCCAACCCGAACCAGTCAGTCAGTCAGTCAGTCAGTCAGTCAGTCCGTCAGTCTCTCAGTCTTTCAGTCCGTCAGTCACTCACTGTCCCGTCTCTGTTCTGTTTCCGACTCTGGCTCTGATTCAGAATCCGATTCTGGTTTGCAATGTCTGCGCAATGCAGTTCTGACATTTTATTGATTGAAGAGGCAACACACACAGCCACACACACACACACAGAGAGAGAGCTGGAGAAAATGCAAATATTTAACAACTTTTTCGTTTTCCAATAGCAATGTCTTCTGTGGGTTTTTTCGAGCCCTGCCTCTGCCTGGGTGTGTAAACATTGGACTTTTATTTAAATATAAACTCGCTCGCCCATCGCATTGCATTGAATACATGATTGAATATGACTCCCGAATGACAGATGGATTTTGTCTGTGCTCGATTGTTTCGATTCGTTTGTTGTCTTTGGGTGTCTGTCTGCAGCTACATTTTGGCCTGGTCGAATGCCACACACGATTCAAAATCGGATCCCGGACTCCAACTCCGACTCTGGCTCCTATTCCTGGTCCGTTTGCTGCTGCTGTTGTTATTTGTCGTGTACATGGGCATGCATAAGTCATAAGTTTGGGAAAGAGCATAATTTTCAACATTTTCTTTTAGGCCTGTGTAAATATATGCATACAATGTTTTGAAATTTCATAAGGAAGAGTGATTGAATTTTATATATCAATTCAAGAGAACAAGATAATAGCAAAAGGAATAGGAAAGAGACACCTAAAAGGATATTGTATATTTATCCAAATGCTGACTTAAGATATTGTTAAGTTACTTAATGTGTTCTTTTCTCCGTTTCTCTGAACCTTATTTAATATGTTGATTATAATTTATTCTGTCTTTCCTTTTAATTAAAATGATTTTATACCTTTGAAACAAGTAATATCTGTAATACTATAGATATTCTTAACAGGGATAGTAACAGATTATTTCATTATGATTTCCGAACTTCTCAGATACATTTGGTGTGAATTATGCAATCAAGTTAAGCTAACAAAAACTTCAGTACTCGCTATATTCATTAAACTTATTGAGATAAAAAGATATTTACATTTGGATAACATATACTACATTGTTAATATCAAATGTTTTCTTACAACAAAATGTTCATATTTGCATTATGTTTCTACACCATCAAATATGTTTCTTAAATTTGGTTCTTTCAATTTTAAACGTGTTACGCATCTTCTTTATTATAAAGCACCTTCATCCGAATCAAAGTAGCAAAAAAGATTGTACCAATCATGTAAGGGTTAATCGATTTGCCAAATCCAAGTTCTCACTACTCACTCGGGGCATCATTAATGTCCGAATGGCAATCGCATGGACTAGGAAATTAAATGACAACTGCAGACGTTCTGTGATCAATTGACACTCGGTGACCACGAGTTCGACCTCGACCAGTGCCAGACTGTATTCCCGGTGCAATGACTACTCATTGACCCGATAGTCCCTTCCCTGGTCCTGTCCCTCCACAGCGACCAACTCGCTTATTCTGTCCGAAGTGTCAAATTACCCAGAAAGCCGTAAATTTAGGCCTTCTGGCTGCTGTCATCCGACCAAGAGCCATTCGCCTGCCTCCCTTTGGCACACAAAATTGGTTTCGGTGTCTGCTCGGCTGTTAATCTCTGCTGCAGAGATTAGCGCCCCATTAAGGTGGGCAAAAAGGTGGCACAGGACATTGGGAATCGGGTCCCTCATTTTTCAATACCCCTGCCAATACCTTTTTGCCATATATGTTCCTACATACATATGTGTTATCCGATGCTGCCCCGGGAAAATTGATACCTTGTGCACTAAGCCAAGAGCTAATTAGGTGCACGGTCTGATTGAGAGCAGAGCACAGAGCACAGAGGAGTTCCTTGCCAATTTACCAGCCATATGTATCCCATAGGTATCCCGAAAAGGGAGCATGGGACAATGTGGGGAAACCCAATACGAATAGGAAGCACTGCTGGTGACCACAGGAAATCTCACACCATCGGACATGGTTAAACCCTTAGGATCTAGTTACAATTAATAAATTGTTTCTTTATACTCTTGCAAGGGTATAATAAATATAATCAGAAGATTGTAACGCAGGAAATGAGTCATTTTCGACTCTATAAATAATATTCATATATAATTGATCATCAAAACCGGCAATTAAATCTGATTCATTAACATTATAAAAACTGACATAAAAATGCTTTCCGAATAATTATGAATAATTTTATTACATAGGTATGAGTCTTTTAAACTTTCAATTGGCATATAAAAATATTTGAAGCTTAGTTTCGATCGATTTTCGACAGAATCCTATAATAATTTGAAGAGTATATACACTTCAACTTCCCGAAATCAGTTTATTATCGTGTTTGTCATAAGATTTCTCACTGATGAACATGTCTTCTTGTATGACTTAATACTTTGTAGTTTAATTTTGTTGACACACAAGATACATTAGCTCTTAATATATGAAATAAAATATTAATTCAATATATTTTATATATAAATACATATTTATTATTAAAACTCTTCAATGTTAAGTCTAATATGTCACCATGTGCTAAGTGTTCATTATAGTTACCCAATTACTGGTGTGACAATATTTTACTTATTTTTAAGTAATAAAACAACAGAAAGTAAGATTATTAATATTTTCCTGCCTACTGCTTTGCTCCAAAATATTGAATGCTAGTCAACCCAAGGAAATAAAAGTTACCTACAATAAATAATACAAAATTCACGGTGTATTACTCCTAAAGCACATGCATATTAATCCATTCGTTCCAAGACAATTTGCTTAAATTTTTTAAAATTGTTTAGTATTCATAAAAAACTCTCTTAGTTTTTCCATGGCCGTCTTGGAAAACACCCTCAAAATGGGGAAATGGAGGTTCCTGCTGTTAGTTATTTTCCTAGTGCCACGTAATCATTCCAATATTTATGCTGTGAGCTCAACTCTAATTAATCTTTAATCGAAAAAATTATATAGTAAGACATACCTTGTAGATAAAAAGAACGGGATTACTATTAGATCAACTTGACAAACTTTTTGTGGAAATCACTCAAGAACATGTTTCTATGTACGCAAGTAACCAGGATTGTTTCAGGAGGTTGGTATAGTTTTGAATCTAAATATATTCACTGCTAATTAATTTCTATTTATATTTAAGCTTAGATGTGCTTGAAGGTATGTTTGGTTTTAATTTATATTACATAAAGAATTAAGAAGAATTTTGTTTACAGAAAAATACCGTTCCGTAAGTTAAGAAGTGGTTTCGTGTGACTTTTACTCAACACTTTTCACTTTCAGAGCATGTACGGCATTGGAGTAATACAAAATATCCTAGGAAAGTATAATTATTTAACGCAATTGTATAATTCTGGTTGTAAAAGGCAGATAAATGGAGATTTGCTAGAGAAAGACTCAGAATGCGGACCATTTGGATGCCACCAACTTGAAATTCGTTCGCTGCCAGATCAATTCGCTTTAAATAGTTCCAACAAATATCTGAGATCCAATACCAATCACAATGTTGTTATAAATAATAGTAATATAACAATCTGGTTGGTAATGCCACCTCAAAAAAAGGAAAACAAGAAAAACAAAAAGAAAAAAAAGACAGTGCCACCGTGTAAATGTCCAGAATGTTGCAAACCTCCTTCGGAAAAGGATCATCAATGGTTTCCCCTTCCCTTTTATCCTTGGGGCTTTTGGGCCAAAATAAAAAAAGTAGAAGTAGAAGCTCCTTCAAATTCAAGCATCCAGGTTACAGAAGGTAACTCTACTGACCGGTAAAAAATCCAAGGAAATCGGGATTGGACTGGCAGCATGTTCCATGTTGTAAATTACAATTACTGATATGGCAAGAGCACAGGTTTGTTTGCAATGAATAAAAGAACAGACAAAAGCAAAGATTTCATACGAGAAGTAAAAATATTTGCGGTTTCCTGGTTACTACGCCCAAATCTATTCTCACCTTTGTGATAATCGCCATGCACAACACAACACAAATCCAGTTTGCGAAAAAAGGAAAAAAGCTGAGGAACTCACTCCAAAGAGGAGCAGCTGTTGCTTGGTCCTGAGAGCCCAGGGGGAATTGTTTGCTTTTGTCGACTTTTTGTGAAATCCTGATGGAAGTAATTGTTTATGCATTAAATAAGCCGGCCGGAGAGATGAGCCCAACCAGATACTCGCACTCACTTGGTAGACAACTGACAAAATATGTAACACAATGGATGAGTCTGAGGGGTAAACAACAAGTGAGTGAGAAGTAAGGGCGGGCAGGGAGCAGCTTAGCAAATCTGACAGGCAGTCAAATACAATGGCACTTAGTCCTTGCCAAGGGGTGTGTGTGCGTTCCACTCGGAACTCCTCACGGATCCTGCACATTTATGATAGATATCTAATGCCATGATGGACAGACAGAGCGACAGACAGCTCTCAAAAGAAACTGCCTGCCCTCCGACAGGGATTAGGCTCGGTCCCAGCTCCCCCCGATTGTTATCGCACGCAATTTTGTAATTTGATGAAAACAAACGAATTAAGATAGGCATCGCCCGGAATCCGGTAGTTCCAGACACCGAACAATGCAAGTGACGACTGCGTCTCCGAGCTGTCAAGCCCCCATTCCGCTAATCCCCGCCAATTGGTATCGTGTAGGCCCTATGATTCGGTCCGTCGGTTTGCGTTCACACCGTTGTGTGAAATCCGACTCAGCCAGAAGGTGAAGGTAACTCGATATGCATCACTATGCACCCATTGTTCTGCAGATCTGGTAGCCACTGATTAGACCAGGAGGCATCTGCTGGGTAGAGTTCCAAAACCCCGGTAGGAGTCCTTTGACAATTTCCTCAGGTGCCACCGAATGGAAAGAGCAGACTAATTGAAGTCCTCTTTGTTAAGGACAATTCGGTAGCAACATAATAAATTGCCTATTGATGAAAGAATTTATATTCATTCAAATGTATTCAAATCAGACCAGATCATAAGTCCTTGTAAAGGAGAGGGTGCTTAGAGAGCAGAATGCAACCCCATTTAAATTTGAGATTGAAATAATCTTGTAACGTTTGGGTAACAGAAATGTTAAGTACATGTATGAAGAATATAAATGTATATTTAAATATATTATAAAAGGTGTGCCAATAAGGTTCTTTCGCTTTACTACCAAAATATACACTTTTCCGGGTTTGCAATTAATTGGAAGAGGATGAATCAATTAATTTAGAGTAAATAATAGGGGGAAATAATTGGAGAAACGATTACCCAACCTAAATAGCTTATATTTATTAATTTCGGTAATTAAGATTATCTCATATTATACATTTTGGAATCAGAGTTATAAATAGTTAATTCTGCTTACAAAAATAAAGTATTAGCAAGTATTATCCTAATGTATATAAGAAAGTTTTGCTTACCGTTGAATAAACTCTAGAAAGACTGAGTGTAATAATTGTAGTTCTAAATAACTTGATGGAAATTTCATTCATTGAATAGACTTCACTTCAGTATGCTGTAAATAGGTTTAAAATTCTTTCCCTCGGAGATTATGTGGTGGAGTTTTCCTATAGTCGTTTCTACTCCACATTCAATCGCATTCAAGCTCTTCCATTATGGCTTTTGTAATGGAGCATATCATAGATAGATCGATCAAATGTGGAACACTGGTAGCTGGCAGCCGATGTAATCGAACGTGATCTCTCGCTGGCCCCACAGGCATCAAATTAATCTATACGCGTTGCCGCCGCCACCTAGCGCTCAAAGGAGGAGGAAGGAATGAAAAAAAGTCAGTTACTTTAATGAAACACATGTGTCGGCCTTAGCACAAAAGAGTGGGAATAGCCACGGAACCGAAGCATACAATTTATGATTAATCACAAGATCGATGGGAAAATTATGCCCAAGACAAAAGGCCAGGCGATGTGGGGGCCAGAAGCGAGCATTAATCTGCATTTTCTAGACCCCGTCGAGAGATGACAAAGCGTTTACGGCGCATATAATTATTGGTCGCCGCCAAAGATCAGATGAAGACGAAGTCTCAAGTGGCAGGAAAAGCTACTTAATTTGCCTTTGTGTCTCCCTCCACCGCACCATCGGACAGGCAAGATAATGTCTTAAGTATCGGCGACCAAAATGTCATTAATGACAAGTGCTTATAATGACTGGTAAGACGTTTGTGAAAAAGTCTTTCAATCCGTCTCGCTGGAAGCATGTATAATTTGCTCGTATCCCGCAGTACAATGGGCCTAACCGGCTACTGGGCCCAATCGAAGTCATGGGAGACAATTGCGAGTGGTGTGTGATCATGCGGCCCGCTCTATTACCGGGCTCAATGGAGCGGATTTGGCGGCTCAGTTCAAACTGGCTCCCCATAATCAATTACGGTCACTTTTATGTTGATTCGCAACGGCTGGTCTCATTAAAGATTTTCCTGTCCACACACATTCGAAATAAAGCACTGGGATTATGGACTGACAAGATTGATTGATTAATTCAATTGCTTAATCGGTCACATAAGACATAAGTAATGCTACATTCTAAGCGATAAGGTTTGATTATATTCAGATTGGGGAAGTACGGTTACTAAGGATACAAAAAATAATCAATATATCGTTACAGTATTCATATTTAAATTGATTTACTATACTGTTAAATAAATTGATTAGATGTTAAATCAATATATAAAAAACTAGATCTTTCGATATAATATCGAACTCGTATTCCTTCGATCGATATATAAGTATCTCTTAACTACATAATTACATATGTATATATTTACACGTATTCCTTGCAAATTAAATCTATGACTTGACTTGCATTAATACACTATTCTTTCCTATAATTCCTTATACACACTACATTCCCCATAATCAGGTGCCTTTTGCAGAAAATACTCGGAGAGCTCAGCAAATAGCAGATCACAAATTGCAAGAAGCACAGAGAATACAGAAAAAAGGCCCGATAAATACCAAGATGCTCAGACTTAACCATTAATAACTAGTAAGCTCAACAATGTTGTTGCATTGCCAACTATTTTTGCGCACAGACGACAAGCAAACATTTTGTAATTATAACGCAAAAAGGCCGCGACAAACTCATTTGTCCATGGTGAAAAATGCACATTACACAGCGGCGATGGCATCGTTGCAGCCTCCAGAGATTGACACGGAGAGAGGTGAAGATTGGCCAAATGCCATTTGAGGCTGGGACAGGATGGTGGTAAAATTGCCATGGCAACAAATCAAGCATCATAATGTGTCAAGCAATGCATCAAGTGGCCCAACTGGAACGTCAAGGCAAACGCATTACATCGTAATTGACGGGAATTGTCAACACTCTGGCAGGAGGCGCAAAATGGCCAGCGAGGAGCAGGTGGAGTCGAGGGCGAAGTCTCCTCAGGCTATTAAGCACAGAGAAAAAATATTACCCTAAGGAGTCCAATAGAAAAAAATTAATATACAAAACAATTCCAATCCATAGAATTCATGAACCACGCATTGGAATGTGAGGAAATCCTTCCAATATAATAAACACAATTCTATGAAGCCACCATATTAGTATTATATCAGAAATTGATCCTTAATCTTTTAAATTTTTGTGAAAATTTTCATTTTAGATTATATTTATTAATTCTGTTTTATATAACTGCCTTAGTTAGACGTTAAATTATCCTAAAGCATTGCATAAATGATTGTTCTATGATTAATGTGACTTTTGACTTAAGAGGTTATTATGCACAGTCAAAGATCTCAAGTATTCAGTTTCATCTTTAAACTACAAGTATAAAAACAAAGTTAATTATGACTTGGTTAATTTCTTTCTGTGTTGGCCACTCACTTTATTTACCGCAATTACCGATTACAGCTTACTTTATGGCCAGAGACCAGTTTCTCCACAATTGCCATCGCTTTAGATTGTGTTAACGCATTTTTTGCGTCCATATGGGACTGGTAATATTTTATTGCCAACATTGGATAAGAAAGAGATGACTACAGCCCTATACATCAGAATAATTAGAGGTAGTTTTAGGGCAGATCAAGTAGAGTATTGTACATATATAAAAACAAACCTAGTTTTCAAGTAATAAAATATAGTAATCCACTCACTTTTATCTATATATTTATGATATAAATAGTAAAATATATACGGCAGTATATAGGAACATTCATTTAAAGATCAGACCATGCTTCCTTCATCAAAATGCATTTTTTTCAACCGCACAATACCTGGTCTGATGTTGTCTCGTTGGAGTTTACGTTTCCCCTGGACAGTGACAGTTGATGGGGTCCTGTCCAATGAATATATGTCAACAAGCCTTCAACATTGTCGTTTTCAATTTTCGGCAGGATGTCAGTCAAGGATATTTATGGTCGAGATGATGCTGGGGGTAAAATAATCGAGGTACTGTGATCGTATTCCTCAAGCTCGTTACGGCATTCGATGCGTGGAAACAATTTCGTATGCGTCCGTATAATGAGTAGCAACGAGTTGAAGTCAATGCTGGGAGTTGTCCCTTTGCTGTTCAACTGCGGTTGTTGATCTGCTCCAGCTCCTGCTCCTGCTCCTGCTCCTGCTGTTGATTATCCCTTGACAGGGCATCAAATGCGAAATCGACCGCCCAATTTACATACAATGCACATCAATCGAATGGCAACGGCAGCTACATCAAGTACTGGCCCTGCCACTGCCACTGCCGCATCAGGAGCCACAGTCACTGTCAGTGCCATTTACCCTGCCAGCGGCACTGGTCACCTTTGTGGCATCATCGGTTTTTCCCTTACTTGCCGCATTTTTTTGCCTCAGTCCCGGCCTTTTGGGCCCGGCAATCAAGCGTACTTGTTGTACGACTCCAGCTCCTGCTACCAACAACTTTAGCGGCCATGACACAAAGATTGACAGCATGTCGTCGCTGTTTGGAAGCCTGATTGACATGAGTAATC